TCTACAAATTTCATTTTTCTAGTAGCATTTACACTAATTGTTTTAAAGCTTATACATTTAAAAAGTCAGTAATATTAGATTCTTACAAATATTACTTTTTAAATATCTATTACATTTTTCTCAGATAAAAGCAATCAAATTCAAATATTATTTTTTAATTTTAATGTATTGTTTTTCAGTAATCACTTCTTTACAATGGCCAAACTTTAAACACAAGACTCTAAGAATGAGTCATTTATTTCCCAGCAGATGAAATGTACTTATGGTTATGTGCATCTGACACCAGACATCCTCTATAACTCACAATCCTACATAACAACTGCGGATTTTTTTCCCCTGCAGATTTTCAACATAATTTTTGAAAATGTATTAAGTAATATAAAATGGAAACTTTTTATTTGCATTGTACTTTTGGGGATAAAAGATATAGAATTAATCATCGCAAAATTTCCTAAAATAAAATTTACAGGTCCTATAATATGTATTATAGTAACAGTTTACCAAATATAAAACCAAAATAAATTGCTGCCAATTTATAATAGTAATGTACTTTTAGGAATAATGAAAATGATCATTTCAATTGGTAGACATATGGGTCAAGGACTAAGGTGTTATAAATTCTTCAAAGAAAAGTCTTCAGCAAGAGCCTCTCCTAAAACATTAGCATTTGTGATGACTGATTCTCTTCAAAAAGTGAATTGCAGCTGAGTATAGTGGCTCATGCCTGTAATCACAACACTTTGGGAGGCCAAGTTAGGAGGATCACTTGAGGCCAGGAGTTAGAGACCAGCCTGGGCAACACAGAAATGAGTGAGACCTCATCTCTACAAAAAAAAATTTGAAAATAAAATTAGTTAGGCATGGTAGTGCATGCCTGCAGTCCCAGCTACTTGGCAGGCTCAAGTGAGAGGACCACTTGACCCCAGGAGGTTAAGGCTGCAGAAAGCTGTGATTGTGCCACCGTACTCAAGTCTGGGCAACAGGGTGAAAGTCTGTCTCAAAAAGAGAAAAAAGTGAATTGTTTGCCTTCCTGTAGATTTCAAAGAGTTCAGGACACTGATGAAAAATAAGTTGAAAGACTCACACTACCTGATTTTAAGACTTAGTAAAAGGTTAGAGTGATTAAATCAGTATAGTATTGAAAAAAAAAAAAAAAGAACTAGATACATAAATAAATGGGACAGACAAGGAAGTCTAGAGACAGACTGCCACAAACAGTGAACTGATTTTTTATAAAGGTGCAAGGGCAATTCAATAAAAAAACAGTTACTTCAATAAATGGTACTCTAATGGATATGAATATGAAAAAAAAACTTACCTCAATCCATACCTCACACCTTTACAAAAACTAACTCAAGGTTGATCATAGACCCAGATGTAAAACTTAAAACTATAAAACATATAGAAAAAATAGGAGAAAATCTTGGTGCCCATAATCTTAGGCAAAGAGTTCTTAGATGCAATGTCAAAAGTAGAATCCATAAGAGAAATTCATAAGTGGGTCTCATCAAAATTTGAAACATTTGCTTTGCAAAAGTACTGCTAAAAGAACAGTAGAAAATATTTACAAATCACATATCTGACAAGTGACTTAAACCTGAGATATGTAAATAATTCTCAAAATTTGACAGTAAGAAAACACACAAGCCAATTAAAAACTGAAAATATCTGAACAGATAATTCACCAAAAAAGGTACACAAATAGCAAATAAACACATAAATAAATGCTTAATTTATTAGGCAGTGGGGAAAATACAAATCAAAATCACAACAACATGGCACTACACACCTATTATAATGGGCAAAATTCAAAAGAAAAAATGATGAAGCCATACATTGGCACAGGTGCACAGCAACCTAAATCTCTTAAATTGCTAGCAAGAGTGCAAAATGGTATAGTCACTTTGAAAAACAATTTAATAGTTGCTTAAGTTACACTTACCATATAACCATATATACACTTACCATACAATCTAGAAATCAAACTCCTAAGTATTTACCCAAGAGAAACAAAAATGTGACCATACAAAAACCTTTTCATGGATGTTTAAAGCATCTTTACTCATAATTGCCAAAAGAATAAAAGCAATCCAAAGGCTCATCAGCAAGTATTTGGATAAAATTTTATAGCCATATAATGAGATATTATTCAGCAGTAAAAAGGAATGAACTACTGACACATGCAACAATGTGACTGAATCTCAAACATATTTTGCTAAGTGAAAGTAACCAGACCCAAAAGGGTCTGTATGATTCCATTTATATGACATTCTGGAGAGGGCAAAACTATAGAGATAGACAAGTCTGTGGTTTCTAAATGTGGCCAACTGTTTTTTCACAAAGGTACCAAGGCAATTCAGCTAGAAAAGTACTGAACAAATGATGTGGGAACAATAAATTAAGGGGGAAAAATGAAACTCTACCTAACATCACACACAAAAATTAATTTGAAAGGGATCACAAACTTCGACATAAAAGCTAAAACTATGAAACTTCTAGAAGAAACAAGAGATTATCTTCCCAACCTTGGAGTATAGAAAAGTCGTTTCACATATATAAACAGCCAAAAGAGAAAAATATTTACAAGTTGGACTTCATCAAAATTTTAAAACTTATGATCATCAAAAGAAGCACTGAAAAGGAAAGCAAGAGATTGAGAGAAAATATTGTGATGCATATATATGACAAAGAATGTGTATCCAGGGTATATAAAGAACTCTTAGAAATCAACAGTTAAAACACAAATATTTCTATTTTTTACATGAGAAAATAGTAGAAGAGACACTGTACAAATGAAGATATACAAATAGCCAGTAAGTATATGAAAGGTACTCAGCATCATGAATCACCATAAAAATGCAATTTTAAACTACAATGAAACATCATTTTAAAACCACTATAATGACTACAATTTAAAAGACTGACAAAACCAAGCACCGCAGAGGATGTAGAACAATGGAAACTTACATATTTTGCTGGTGGGAATATAAAAATGACACCAGTTTTTTTTTTTTTAAATTTCTGACAGTTTTTTACGTTTCTTATGAACACACATATATCCCATGACCTGGCAACTGCACTTTAGTAGTTAACCAAGAGAAATAAAAACATATGTTGACAAAAGATTTCTACAATAATGTCTGCTGCAATTTTATTTACAATATCTAAAATGCAGAAACAATTCAAATATCCATCAACCCACAGCCCATCAAATAGTGGTGCTGTGATAAAATGGAATGCTACATGACCACAAAGAAGAATGAAGTGCTGATACACACAACAACATAAATGACATTATGTTCAGAACATTAATGTTGAGTGAAATTAGGTAACCACCAATGACTTCTGAACGATTCCACTTACAGGAAATTCAAGAACAGGTGAAAACTAATCTATGATGACAGACATCAGAACAATGTTTGCCTATGAGGCATAAAACTGACTGGAAGAGAGCATACGAGAACATTCTAGGTAATGAAGATGTTTGAAGTCTTAAATGGGTTAATGATCACATGCATGTTTACATTGCTCAAAACATCAAATTGTAGTTACCACAGTCTAGGAAGGGTGTGTTGGAGGAGGGAAGGGATGAAGAGAGGTAGGTTAACGGGTACAAACATACACTAAGATGGAAAGAATAAGGCCTACTGTTCAATAGCCCAGTAGGGTGACTATATTAACAACAATATGTTGTATATATCAAAATAGCAAGAATAGAACATTTGAAAAGTTCCCAACACAAAGAAATGATAAATGTTCAAGGTGATAGACATCCTGCTCTAGCTTGAGCATTACACATTCTATGCATGTATCAAAGTATCACATGTACCCCATAAATATGTACATATATTACATATCAAATAAATACTTTTTTAAAACATCAAATTATACACTTAAGATCTGTGCACTTCACTGTATATCAAAGTTACCTCTACAAAATTAAAATAAATAGTTTAGGTCTTTTACTTCAATAGCAGAAAATGTAGAGCATATAATATTGTCTGCATTCAATGAAAAAATTACTACTTTTAGATGGTATATTTGTTGATTCATTCAAATTCATATAGAAAGGCATAAGTTCATAAAGGAGCTTTAAATTAGGGGATACAGAATGGCCTGATTTTATGCCCTCTGAAACCAGTTATTGGCAAATAAAACATAATCATAATAATTTTATTTATATATGTGTGTATATTTATATGGTTTGGTTATTTTTTAGTTAGACTTGCCAATATAAGCATGAATGGATCAAATAAAGAGGTTAAATAATCAACCATGGGAAGAATATACAATCTTCTGGTTTCTAAGTATCCTAACTTAGGAACAAAAGTGGCCTATCAATAAATTCAATGCCAAAAAAGTATACTCTATCATCCTGTTATTCCTGACTGGGTGAGGATGGTAGTTAATGATATAAATAATGTTGACAATAATTTGTATAGAAAATACATGGTTATGTTAACAATGCATAACTTCTACTCTCAGTCAAGATATAATACATAACACAACTCATAGTGAATTACTTTTGATACACGGCCTACAACTATAATGCTAGTTCTTATATAATGTCAGTAGGCATAAGAGATTTTAGCCCCAAATAAATTTAAATGATGGTTCATATAGGAACCTCCACAAATGAAGTAAACCAGATAAAAGAATACCTACACTAAAACTGACAATATATTATCAAATACTTTGATCTTTCATTTTAAAAATAAATTAAGGAAATACAATTTTAGCATTTAATTAGCTGATCAATGCATTTGGGGATATTTTAATCAAAAACCCATATATTTCCAAACTTACATGAAAGACAATCCTTAAACACACATACACACACACACATACGTGTGTGCATCTAAACATACTTATGTGCATCTAAACAAGTTCTATGATGTTAAGAAGCTTAAACTGATTTAGCATTGTTACTAGAAGAAAAATATTTCATATGGTTACACTGAGTAATCCATTTTTTAAAGCTCTTTGTAATGGTAGCATACCTGTGCCCTCTTCTGCACCTCCAGGAGGAGTTCAGAATACTGCAGCTCCAGTTCCTTCTTTTGTTTGTGCCAGCAGCTCTCTTGGGCTTTGATCTGTTCTGCCACTTTGGTAAAGGTGTCTTCCTGAGTCTGCTGAAGCTCTCTCATTGTGTCAGACTTGTTTTTACAGATATACTCTAAATGGCTTATCTATATGTGGAGATGCAACAGATAAGGAAATAATGCTCACAAGCCATTTCTTTGTCATCTCCCCCAACGAAACAACCAAAATGTTCTAATATATTTTATTCCTTAAGATCATAAAAAAATTGTAACATAAAATGTAAATAAATTTTTTTAAAAAGAAAATAGCAGAGTAAATTGCCATACTTTAGCAGAAAATACTGTCATTTGTATACTTAGATGGCAAATTTTTCATCTTCCCTTTCTAATGAAGTTACTTATTCTATAATTAATTTGATTGAGACTGAGAAAGATATTGTTACTTCTGAAATCAAGGCTCCAGCTATTCAAATACTTCAATGGGAAAGAAAGTAAATAAGATTTTAAAATCTGCAAACAGTTTACATGAAATGAAGCAGAATGTTGTAACCATTTTTCATTTCACATTCAAACACTAGAAAGAAAATGCTCATTTTCTAAAATGTAGGACTATTAAGGATGTTTTGAAACAACAAAAACTAGTAAAAACATAATACCATCTCATAGAGTTAAACATATTCATTTTAATAACCCGTAATTTTCAAATCCATTATGTACACATTCACAACCATGAATAGCCTCTGTGATGCTCATAACTTATTTCCTTATTTCTCAGCCCTGCATCTCAGTGTCTATGGTTGTATTTGTCAATAGGACCAAGATAAAATGCTCAATAATAAAAAATATCACTCTGAAATTGGGTCAATACATTGTTTTATTACTTCAACAGAATTATTTTTTTAACTTACAGGACAGTTTTTTCTTCTTGTCCCTTAAGAGCAAATGTCATTGTAACTAAGACCTGGAAACTAAACCACATAAACACAATTCTGACCAGTTCAATAGACCCAGGATAAGAACCAATGTCTTTAATGGTGGCATATGTTGATCTGCTAAGCCACTGCTATATTCTATAACCAAAAGCAGGTTTTTAAATACTTGTTGGAGACTGAATTCCCAGGCTTGTGAGATAGTAATGCTACCATAAAGGTCTACTATATTCTCCTACAAAATACACTTTTTACATTCTAAAGCATGGAATGAGTTTTCTAATATATAGTTTGTTGTATTTCAAGAAGCAAATCATAAGCATATAATTTAAAATGTTTAAGTGCTTTTAAAATAACACCTCATATTTCCTAAGCAAAGAATTTTAAGATCATGTTTTTGAGTAACTGTACCCTGTTTCTATTTTATGCTAACATAAAGAGTTGGTTTATTAATGTAAATGACTAAGTTCTTTGAATTGCTTCATCAGTAAGATTAATTTATTTTCTTTTAATTAGGTCCCTGTGGCTAATACTGGCTAGTAGTATTAGCATGTCCTGCACAGAAAGTGGAGCTTAGAGACTTCATACAGACTTCAGTCACATTTACATGCCCACAGCAATGGCATCAAACTGTGTTGTAGACAAGCCATAATTAATGGTATTGAATTATTAACATCCAAATTCTTTTTGAAATAAGATGAATGTCAGCCCCTCTTAATGATACTGTGATGTGGACAAATGTCACTGAATTTAATAGAGGTATCTGGTGCCTGAGGACAGTTACCTTCTCATTAGCCCTGTTGAGGTCTGCAATGAGGGCATCAACATTCTCCTGCAAGACTGCACAAAGCTCAGACCAAGAGAATTTATCCAGCATGCCTTCTGGTTGTTTTATGAGCACACAGCCTGCTACCAAGTGCTGATACAAGGTATGAAGGAAGGTTAGCTTCTCCTGCAGGAAAAAAAACGAAAATTAATTCCTGAATATAAACAATGTAAGAAGTAAAATACATAATACAAACAGTGAAGAATTAATTTCAAAAACCTGAAAAGAAATTACAATACTCAAGTCTCAGAATATTTTAATGACTTTTTTTAATATTCAAAACTAAGCACCAGATAGAACATTTGGAATTGCTTACACTTGGTATTCAAAACCAAAATCTAAAGTCTAGAAGCCAGAAGACCAAGACTCATCCACAGTTCTGCTACTGATGAGGTTGTGATTTGAGTAAACACCTGTTCAGGCCTAAGTTTCCTTAGCTATCACACCAGGTGTCAGGGCTGGACTCGTTTATAAGCCTATATAACTGTAACTCAATATAGTAATTCTATAATTTAATATTTACATTTGACAAAAATGGATACCACTTGTCAAAAAACAATACAGAAAAAAAGAGTGTTATTCTACTCTGATGAAGAAAAGTTATACCAATATCTATACTTTACATGGACACAGTTACTCAGCTTTCTTCTTCTTCCAGAGATTCCAGTTTACTTACTACTTATAGGAAAGCTATCCCAAGCCCCTTAGGCAAAGCAGATAGTGATATGAAAGATATGGAAGATGGGCTCATTTGTTTTCTCCACTTATAAGTTCATACAGTATTTGGGACACTGGGCATTTCTAGTTGTTTAAATATTATAAAGTAATAGCAAAAATGAATATAGCTGCTCAAGACATACTTTCAAAAATGTCCAATTAGAAATATGTTTTTTAAAAGTTCTTTAAAATTATATTACCACTTTGGTAATTAAACTATCAATTGCCAAAGGACTTAGAAACACTATGCTACAGAATTTGTATAGAGCAGATCACATTTGAACACATGAGGAGAGTTTACTTACTATAATATCAAATAGCTCTCTTTATAAGGTGTTTCATCTGTAAAGTCCCAAAACATGGAACTCAAAGACAAGGTAATTATGGAGCTGCAAAATGAATAGTTTATACAGATAAAATAAGTTTCCTCAAGATTTTTTTTTGAGACGGAGTTTCACTCATGTTACCCAGGCTGGAGTGCAATGGCGCGATCTCGGCTCACCGCAACCTCCGCCTGCTGGGTTCAGGCAATTCTCCTGCCTCAGCCTCCTGAGTAGCTGGGATTACAGGCACGCGCCACCATGCCCAGCTAATTTTTTGTATTTTTAGTAGAGACGGGGTTTCACCATGTTGGCCAGGATGGTCTCGATCTCTTGACCTCGTGATCCACCCGCCTCGGCCTCCCAAAGTGCTGGGATTACAGGTTTGAGTCACCGCACCCGGCCCAAGATTTTTTACTATATCAAAAGGAAGAAAATTTTTAAAGGGGACAAATGTAAAAAGAAAAATTTAGAAAGTCTGCTATAGATTTTTTAAAAACTGAATATAGCATATGCAAAAGTTTTATAAGTTATAGAGAATATTTTCTTACAAATATCAAAATGTATATCTTTAATTCACTATGTATACCACCTTACTTTTTTTTCCAAAGGCAGTAATTTAAAAATGGAAATTTTTGAAAACGTGGTTACAACAACAAATATAAAAAATCAGATTTTTTTCACAAGTATGCTATGCCTTTTCATAAGCAGTTAACGATGACTTTTGCATTTTTTAACTAGGTCAAAATGTTTTAAAGTCTTACTAAATATAACTTAACAAATGCATAAAAATCTTCCTCCTGTATTTTGCCTAGTGATCACGTTCATCCTCAAGGAAGTTCATCCTCAAGGATAATTCCTTGTGTCGCTATTATGTCCTTTTTGCTTGGGCTGTGATAAACCATGCATGATAATCATCCATTTGGCATGAAAAGAGAATCCAAAATCAATTCACACATGTTGAACCCAACCACAGTGCTGTAGACATGCTGACTTTACAATACAGTCAGGCTTCTAGTTTCCTTTACTTTAATCATTATCTGATGTGTAGAGCAATTCCAATCCCTTCATGTGGACACAATTTAAATCCCAGACTGTAAAAAGAGTGGAAAGAATGTTTCCTTTTTACTCTCTTGGCATTCATGTTCATATTTGTTGGAGTAATGAACTCAATATGCAGGATGACTTAGATAAACCAGTTTCACTAGCTAGCCTAGCTCTATAACCCATAGAGTAAAAAGAACTAGAAGACAATTCCATTCACACAGGCTCACACAAAATAAGAAACTTGTGTCATAATATTTTTATAAGCCATTAATAAACAAAAATCGATAGGCAACTCTCCAGGGTATCTAAATGAAAAGTTTTGGTTTTATGGATTTTTATTTTTCTAAATTTTTATTAACCTCCCATAATTATACAGAGTAAGGAGGCTGTCTGTTAAAGCTGATATTATTACTGTTTTACAAATAAGGAAACTAGGCTAGGCATGGTGGCTCACACCTGTAATTGCAGCACCTTAGGAGGCCAAGGAGGGAGGATCACCTGAGGTCAGGAGTTTGAGACTAGCCTGGCCAACATGGTGAAACCCCATTTCTACTAAAAATACAAAAATTAGCCAGGCATGGTGGTAGGAACCTGTAATCCCGCTACTTGGGAGGGTGAGGCAGGAGAATCACTTGAACTGGGAGGCAGGGGTTGCAATGAGCCCAGATGGCACCACTCCACTCTAGCCTGGGCAACAGAGCAAGACTTTGTCTCAAAAAAGAAAAAAAAATAAGGAAACTAAGATGTGGCAACACTAAGCTGTACAGCTTGCCCACAGCCACACTATTTATAAGCAGAAGCATCAGAATCCAAGTACAGGTCTATCTGATTACAAAATACTTATTCTTTCCACCATGTCAATCTACCAAGCTACTGAAATAAAAAATAATTTTGTCATTGGCAAACAGGCAAATCTTGAAAGGACCGTTAGGAGCAAAGTTACTTGAGTTACAATGGTCTAAAAGTCCAAAAAGATTGTTGTACAAATGATCATCAAAAAAATTAATTGTGCAAGTTATAGTATTTCTCTCACAAAAGAGAATGACACAAGAGTAATGAAATAAGTGATTTTGCAGCTGTCATGAACATTTCAAAATACTCTGCTCAGAACAATTTTCTTAATTAAACACAAGTAAAAATAGTCACTTGATATATAACACTGAGATTAGAGAAAGGCCTTTCCTGACAGTCATTTAGTCTCAGGTAATACCTCAGCATCCTTATGAAAAGCCTGGGAAATCTTCTGCAGTTCACTTTCAGACTGGGCTGCTCGAACCTTTTCTTTCTCCCAACAGTGTAGCACATTTTGTAGTTCCACTTTTAAAGTGCTTATTAAAGCCTCTCGGTCTGCACATTTAGTGCGTAAATGACTTAACTCTTTATTGACATCAGCCAGTTTATCCTGAAGTTCCTGTCATAGATACCAAATAAAGAGATCGTAGAAAGGCCAGTCAATAAGGGGTGATGGGACACTAGTATAAAATACATATTGAAAATTTTCAAAGCTTTAAAATGAAAGAATCACAAAGGAAAACAAGCATCTGCTTAAATTAAAATATTTTACTGAATGTATTTTCTAAATATATCTGAGCTCAAAAATTAGAATATTTGTTATGTTTGAACATTTACATAAAATGTTAATATAATGGCTTATTCCAAAAAGTTCTTTCAAGGAAGTTTCCTTTCAATCTATTTTTAAAAATAACATTGTAGTTCAAAACTTTTTTAAATTTTTTTTTAAATAAATATCTTACATTTAATATAAGAACATTTACTTTCCAATGACATTCCAAATATTTATAGAAATCCCAAATATGTAGCACAAAATTCTGCTGAACTATTTATTCCTTAAACCTAACAAATTCTATTGAAGTGTGTCCATTACAAACCCAACATGAAACAACACAAAAAAACTCCAGCAATACTGAGAAACTTCTGAGAGTTGACTCAGTATAATTTTGCAAAGATGTAGTACATAAAACCAGCACAGAAACTAAAATAAACTATCGTCCTGGACCTTAGCCAGGTGTGGTCTCAGCCCATTAACAGACGTGATACACTGAAAACAATGGCTCCACCCTAAAAATGATGAAAACTGACTCCAAATACGGATGTGCTTATGTAAAATATGTTTAAGATGTACCTAAGGTTGGACATTTAATATTAAATAATTATTTGAAAATATAATAAATAATTATTATAATTAAATCTGAGAAACAAACTTTCCTTTAACCAAAATAATTTCCAATCAAGTTTTATTTTTTTAATGAAAAAACATTATTGTTACTCTTGATCAACAAGAAAAAATTAAAATTGTATCCAAACATAATTTAAAAAATAGAAATATATATTTTTGGGTACCTCAATATCTCTATATTAAAATATTCCCTAGATAACTATATTTGTTTCTTAATACAAAAGGTAAAAGTTATTCTAAATAATACCTTTATATTTTTAGTGTGAGAGTCTATCTTCTGTTTCGTAGAATCAAGCTCATTACATGCCGTTTCCTTAGCATCATTCATGCTGTTTAGCTGATGAGAGAAAATGTAAGTAACTTTTTTACATTTTTCAAGGATGGGTAACTCAAAAGCTAATCTCTAAGTGCTTTTAATGCAATGACTTAAATACAAATTTTTCAATAGTAATTAACAGTCTTTTAAAAATTATTTCTTTTAGTTAAATGCTATATAGTTTCTGTCACAAGTTCACATGGCTAACAAGAAAAGAAAGCATTCAAACTTAAAATATCACTGATGTTACTGTATTTTTACTACACATCCAGATAAAAGATTTCATTCTTATGGTAAACAAATACAACTTTATTCTTAAAAATCCTACTGGACCAAAATGACAGAAGCAGTGGCATCTATAAGGAAAGAAAAGAGAACAGAGCAGAAGACTGTTCTTTATATACATCATGAGGGTATTCACTGGTCTCTCACTCCATATGACAACTTCAGGGTCGGTCACATGCAGTCCTACTGGGAAGGCTTGTGGCAGGTCATCAGTTGGTCCTGCACCGCTTGTGATTTATTTTCTTTGACAGTTCATTCTTCTTTCTGTCAGACTGCTCCTTTTGCTTTCTTTGCAGCCACCCCCTTGGTCTCCCCACTGCTGTCTCTGGCACTGGTTCACAACAAAGCGCATTACTAAGCCAAAGCCTGCTGAGTCGACTTTTCAACTGTGCTGAGGATCATGTGACATTCATCCTCCCAAATAACAATTCGCTGTGGGTAATATGTTCCTAGTTACCCTGCAGCTTCCAGACCTAGGCCTCAGAAGAGTTTCATAAACTACTAACAATACAGGTTGTCTTGTCTCACAGGGAAAGACTTCATAATATTTGTTCTTCATAGAAATTTAATTATTTCAATGGTCATTTTCTTTTATGCCTCTGAACAATTACCGAGGGTATTAAGAAGACTCACTTTTCCTTCTTTGTTCATCTTAGCAAGCTAAAATAAAATAAGCCACATCTGAAATGTGAAACGTACACATTTTATGGCCTTTATCTTAAATGAATGAAAGAGATAAACACAAGGAAAACTCAAAATTCCATGCTATGTGACTTGTCTTTGACTCTAACAATCTGTTTGTTGTTTTGCTAACTAATTGTATTTAATGTAATTACTTTATATGATAATTTGACAAGATGTAACTAGACAAACTCTTCAATTTTTAAAGCACGAATTCATAAAACATTTTAATACCCAAGAAAATTATCAACCCACACATTAAACAATACAAATGAGATGATAAATAGAAGCATGAGCTTTTTCAATCAGCAAACTAAAAGCTCCCAGGCTACATCAAACAGATACTTGTTTTTTAAAAACTTCTAACAACACTTTACTGCCTTTAGAGAATAAAAACTAATTTCTCTCTTTTTTATTACGACTTCCACAGTTCACAGAAATCTTAACCTAAAATACTGACAAAACCTAAATTTCTACTAGCTACACCAAATGTCATAAAAACATATTAACATTTCAATCCAGTACATATTAACTTAAACTACTTGCATAGTGTTTTCACTAAGTTAAAACAGATAAATTATGAAGATCAAGAAGCAATAGTCTTTACAACTTTGAAAATAATAGTACGACTGAAGAAAACATAAGTGAGACATGACTTGAGGCCACACTTAAAGAAAGAACAGTGACAGACAATTTATTATTTTTTGTATCTGTGAAGCTGTCAGTTCAACATTCCCAATCTTTTTGACCTTTGTAACAAGCAAGGAATACGTACTGGTACAGGCCAAAGGCTATATGTGTGGAGCCAAACAGTGCAAGTGTTACCTCATTAGATGCATCTTCCAGCTTGTTCTGGTAATCTGTCAAGGTATGCCTCAACGTCTCAAGGACAACAGAGAAGCTGGGAGGTTTATCTTTGTCCTTGTGGATGCCTAGAGAAAAATATAGGATGAAAATATACCCTTAAAGTCACAACAGGACAAAAGTTAGGCAAATAGTAACAGAGATACTACAATTAGGTAGAGCTGAAAAGAAATTATGAAACCTTGAGTAGAATTTTATTCTCCAAGTATACTGCTGTATGGCCAAGTATTAACAGACTTTCTAAACAAGCGGCCAAATTAAAGTTCATAATATATCAAATTAAGTTTATGACTACTTTCTACCTTATCAAGACCCACATAGCAGTTAGTTGTTTTTTTGTTTTTTATGTCTCCTAAGTAACTGCAGTGTTTGTACATATCTTTTATCCAAAAATTAAATGAATAGTCTATACTACCATTGTTTGGGGGAGTTATGTACACTTACTGTGGTCCTTGTGTTTCTGATTAGTCAGGCTTTTTATACTGCACTATTTTGCTTAAATAATAATTTCTGAACCCAAGAGCATATAATTTTCTGTTATACTTGGAAATATTCTTCAATCCTTAAAATTCTCAAGTTACAATTTGAAATAAACAATAAAAATGCTATTATCTACATAGCCTACATCATGTTTCAATTAAAACCCTTAAAACTGATACTCATGGTAAAAATATGAGTATTTCCATATTATGGCCTCAAACTACTTTAATTTAGTTGGGCCATAAATTACGTTAGTTGAGCTAATAAAGGTCACATGATCAAATGTAGCTCCAAATATTAATCCAAAAAGTTGAGTTTCAAAAACTACTTTAAATTGATTGCTGATCACACTATTCTTTAAGTGTTAAAAAGCAAGTAGCAAATTCAGTTGAAATATATTCATACTGAAAATATTTTTCTTGTATTTCTCCTCATCATATTTTATAATAGAAATATTTCAATATGTAAGAAACGGATTTTCAACAAAGCTAATATTTAAAAGCAGCATTCATATTACATGTCCTACTATTCATTCATTCATTCATTCATTCAACTAATTTACTGAATTTCTACTACATACTAATCTTAGGCATTAAGCAGACAGCGATAAACAAGATGGGTATAACCTCTGTCCTTACAGAATTTAAGGTTTAATAAAAGAAAGAAAGATAGTAGATAAATATATGACATCATTTATCCATTGTTCAAGCATTCTATTATTGGACTTTTGGAGACGGGGGAAAAGGAAGTAATAGAGAAAGAAGAAAGAAAGGGGAAAAATTCTTAGTTAATGATAGAGCAACTTTATTCAGCTCAGGGTATTGGTGATATCTCATATTTAAATCTTGGAGAAAATGTTATTAATATATTTATGAAATTTATCAAGGTGTAATTTATATATGGGTACAACTTGGTTTTTCTTTAACAGAAGAAGATTTAACTTAAAAACCAAAAGTAATGTAGAAACAACACATATCATATCTAGGAAAGAAATACACTGTTCTGAGCCATGATAACAGAGGAGACAGTACTCTTTGTAGTGACTATGAGTTGGAAAGACAACTCATTAAAAATTTTATTAAAGGTCTTACTAAATATATTTTTTAAAATTCCTCTCTTGCACAAGATAAAAAAAATGTAATGTATAATTCTTTTCTTTTGCTACTACACAAGTAGACCATGAATAAATCATTCAAGGACACTCGGGAAATCTGCATTTTTACAATAAGGGAGAAAACTTCCTCTTAGAAATTCAGAAGAATAAAATCATCTTAATATGAGTGCTGAACAGTAATGGGACAAAATGCCCTCTCCTTACTGACCTATGCACATTCTTATATTCTACATAAAATAAAGTTTTCTTTCCTGAAAATGTTTATATAATAAACATTAGTTGAAGCACAAAGAAAGTTTTATGTCTGCTATGGCTAGATTGGTAAATGCCTTGAGGTAGTCTTCTCTGGGTTAAATCTGCTTGGTGTTCTATAATCTTCTTGTACTTGAATACTGATATATTTCTCTAGCTTTGGAAAGTTCTGTTATTATCCATTTGAATAAACTTTCTATCCCTATCTCTCTCTCTCTACCTCCTCTTGAAGGCCAATAACTGAAATTTGCCATTTTGAGACTATTTTCTAAATTCTGTAAGGGTGCCTCATTCTTTCTTTATTCTGTTTTCTTTTGTCTCCTCTGACTGTGTCTTTTCAAATATCTATCTTCAAGCTCACTAATTCTTTCTTTTGCTTAATCAAATCTACTATTAAGAGACTCTGACACATTCTTCATTATGTCAACTGCATTTTTCAACTCCAAAATTTCTGCTTCTTTTTAATTATTTCAATCTCTTTGTTAAATTTATCTGATAGAATTTTGAATTACTTCTCTGCGTTATATTGAACTTCTTTGAGTTTCCTCAAAACAGTTACTTTGAATTCTTATCTGAAAGGTCATACATCTCTTTATCTCCAGGGTTGGTCTCTGGTCCCTTATTTAGTTTGTTGAAGTCATGTTTTCTGGTATGGTTCTGATGCTTTTGGATGTTCGTCAGTGTCTGGGCATTAAAGAGTTAGTTATTTACTATAGCCTTCGCAGTCTGGACTTACTAGTTCCTGTCCTTCTTGGGAAGGCTTTCCAGGTATTCAAAGGGCTTCAGGTGTTGTGATCTAAAATTTGGCCACTGCAGCCATATCTGCATTAAGGGGCACCCCAAGCCCAGTAACACTGTGGCTCTTGCAAACTCATAGAGGCACCACCTTTGTGGTCTTGATAAAATCCAGAAGAATTCTCTGGATTACTACGTAGAGGCTCTTGTTCTCTTCTCTTACTTTCTCTCAAACAAACAGAGTCTCTCTGTGCTGGGCTAAAACTGGGGGAGAAGTGACACAAGCACCCCTGTGGCCACCACCATTAAGACTGCACTAGGTCAAGCCTGAAGTCAGCACAGCACTGAATATCACCCAAGACCTGCTATAACCATTACTTGGGGACTGCCTATGTTTGTTCAAGGCCCTAGGGCTATACAATCAGCAGGTGGTAAAGCCAGCCAGGTTTGTGTCCTTCTTTTCAAGATGGCAGATTCCCCCAGGTCCTAGAAGGATCCAGAGATGCTGTCCAGAAGCCAGGGCCTGGAGTTGGAAACCTTAGGAATCTTCCTGATACTCTATTCTACTGAGGCTAAACTGGCACAAGACAAAGTCCTTCCCACTCTGCCCTCCCCTTTCCATAAGCAGAGGAGTCTCTCCCCTGGCCACCATAGTCACAAGCCCACCAGGGGTACTTCCAGGCTGCTGCTGATGCTCACTCAAGGTCCAAGAGCTCGTCAGTCAGCTTGTGGTGAATGCTGCCAGGTCTGGGAATCAACCTTCAGGGCAGCAGACTCCCCTTTGGCCAAGGGCAGGTCCAGAAATGCCATCAAAGAGCCAAGGCCTGGAATCAGGGACCCCAAGAACCTACTTAGTGCTCTACCACTCTGTGGCCAAGCTGTTAACTAAGCTGCACGACAACGTCCCATTTATTCCTCTGTCTGCTGTTCTCAAGCAGAAAGAATCTCTTGCTATAGCCACTATAGCTGTGAATGTGCTAGATCACGCTTCAAACCAGCAGATCTCAGAGTCTCACCAAAGGTCCACAGTGTATACTACATGGGTATTGCTGCTGATTAATTCAGGCCCCAGGGGCTCTTTAGTCAATAGGTGATAAATCCTGCCAGGACTGGGTTCTTCACTTTAAGGCAGTGGGTTCCCTTCTGGCCCAGGGTCTGGAAATGTCATCTGGGAGCTAAGGCCTGGAATGAGTGTCTCAGGACTCTTCCTTGTGCTCCATCCTTCTGTGACCGAGCTGGTATCCAGGAAAAAGTTCTCTTTACTCTTCCCTCACCTCTCAAGTAGAAAGAAGGGGTATATTTCAGAACTATGAGCTGTGCTGCCTGAAGTTGGAAGTGGGGTACTGCAAGCATTCCCTTTGCTGCCCCTGCTGGTGTCTCACTAGGTCACATGCCCTCTAAGTCCACTGACTCCAAGCCCAGCACAGCACTAGGATTTGCCTAGGAGTTGCAGTCATGGTGGCCAAGATTGTCTTTCAAGCTTATTTAGGACCCGAGAGCACTTCAGCCCACAGTGGCAAGGCTTGACAGAGTTCAAATTCCAACTGCTTAGATGGACAATTTCCCTCTGGCTAGGGCTAGTCTAAATGCTCCCTCCATGAGCACTGGCTTATTCTCAGTATTGCTTTCCACTGTGACAGGGCAGTACTGAGCTTCAACGAAAGTCCCACAATCACTGTGCACTCCCTCCCCCAAATGCACAGATTCTCCCCACCACACAGCTGCTGCTAGGGCATGGAAAAGGGGTGGTGTCAACAATTCAAGACTCTCAACCCTCTTCCATGCCTCTTTCAGTGATAGGAAGTTTAAAACAGGTACTGTGACTGCTCATCTGATTTTTGGTTCTTATGAAGGTGGTTTTTTGCCTAGATAGCTGTTAAATTTCGTGTTCCTGTGGGGGTGAAGATCACTGGAGGTTTCTATTCAGATGATCTCAATCTTCCGACCTTGTGATCCACCCACCTCGGCCTCCCAAAATACTGGGATTATACACGTGAGCCACCATGCCTGGCCAAATAAATTCATTATCTTGCAAACATTAGTGCCATTCTGGAGTGTTTAGGGAAAACAGTTCATAACTCTTCTAACATATGGAAAGTATTTACTATGTAAGTCCTTCTCATTCTCTATGTTTTTTGGGAGAATTCAGAAAACACTTCCTTTACCAAGGCTTGAGAAATATATGAGTAATGGAAGTCCCAGCCTCCTTGATGAACTCTGTGTAGCTTGATAAGCTCCATGTGGCTAGAAGACAAAGAATAACAGCAAACACTGGTACCATCAAAATGGGTTCCCTGAATTCAGTGGGAGTCATTGGATCTTGGGTAACAGAGACCAAATAGTAGCAATTAACTCCCAGAGACAAAGTGGACATGTTTAACACAATGGGTAGTGGAGTCAAAGCAATAAACAAAATGGTTTGACCTACAGAGATCACTGGCATTGGCTAACTGATCATGGTGTTCCTAGAACCAAAATAAATGGGCA